TCCCTTGACCAATAAATCAGGAGGCCTATACACATAGTGATTACACGGCACGGTCGCTCGATCTCAGTATGTATCAACAATTTGCACTTGTCACACGCAATGACTTGTTTAGAAACATATGTAACGAGACAAAAAACTGACTTTTTATTATCTTGACATCGTTAATTGCCGTCTTTAATGTTCAATATTACATTTCAATTTATATAATATTTGTATTGCGCTGAGGAAGGCTCGAAATGTCAGCCGAAACGTTCGCTTTAATGTGTATTTCTTATGTATTTATTATTTTGTTTAAATGTGAATAAATGATCACTTCTTATTTATTTCTCGTTCCGTTCAAATGAAGTTTTTTAATATCAACTGACAACTTTGTTATGTTTAATAGCTCTTATAGCCCTTCTTTGTTTTCAATTATTAATTTAACAGAGCTAATTACTTATATATTTATAAAAGTAATAGGAGGATGGTAGCGTAACACAAGAAAATACTTATACATACATACATATATAAGAATTATTTTATTGATACACTGCTATCCTACTATTTCTTTTATTATATAAATAAAATAAAGAAGCAATATAATACATACAAGTTATTTTGCATGCACTAATGACTTTTTTTTTATGTTTTACAGTTATTACAAATTTACAATTACAATATGAGGATATAATGAACTATTGTGAGATGGAGTTGAAACTACAAATTAATAAAAGAAGGTTGAGAATATGAGCCTAAATTTTTTGATAATAGAATAAATATGTATAGGTAAATATGTAATATATAAAACCATAATTAAATATGTAATCATAAAAACGACCAATACTGGACAAATAATTTCTTTATTGAAATCAAATTAACATGACGTTTTGACCTGTGGTTTAGGTCATTTTCAAATGCAGTAATAATTACATAACAAGTACAGCGATGAGAAAAAACTTATAACATGTCACAAATATAAAAATATATAAAATTAAACGTAGTGTCTAAAAAGACGTCTCGTCAGTACAGAGCGTGTTCAAATAATATATATTTAATATTTTATTAATTCATATTAAAGCATAATAAAATATAATATTTTGGAATATTTTGTTTTATCAATGATTTTTTCTTTTGTAGAAGGAGCTTGGTAAAATTATTAAATATCATCCCACAACAACAGAAAAACTCATCGAATTATTCAAAGCTGAGCAGATGGCTTATGATAACAGGACAGACGACTCTGTAGCCACTTAAGATGCTGAACAAATTCAAAAAGCATAATTTATAATAGTTTTTCTTTCAAGTTTTATATGGTACATGTAGTATTAAACCAGCATTTTAACATAAACTTAAATTATATATTAGAAAGCTTATAAAATTAAATTACGATTATTATATTAAAAAATAAATACATATATCGAAAATTCTATTATATAGTCTAAAACTAATAAAACATTTCACAGGTATTGATACTAGATTTGACAAGGTAAACGAGCATATGCAATATCTATTGATGAAACATGTGCTGAAATATAGGCGGAGAAAGCCTATATATTTTATGAAATACAAGAACATATATGTATTCAATATTAAAGTACATATTAAAATTATTAAATTACATATATAGTATCATAACTCTTATATATACTAACATATATATATCATAACATCATAACCCGTCGAAGGATCGTCAGATTCTAATATGTTTTTTAAAAGAAATATTTACACAACCTTAATTATTTTGTTATAAACCTCGTTAAGATTCTCTGTATTCTTCTATGAGTTAATGTTTTTAAGTTTTTTAATATAGAACATTTCGGCTAACTCTCTCTTCCTTAAGTGTTTTTCCATATGTAAAATGTTAAATTTATTCCAATCGAAATCATGTTCAAATTCAGATTGGTGTTTGCTTATAATTGAATGTGAACTATAATGCAATTTAATATTATTACAATGCTCCTTAACCCGTGTACTAAGATGTCTCTCTGTTTGTCCTATATATGAAGCGAAGCAATTCTTACAGTCAATCTTATAGAAAACATTTGTTGCATTATCATTAAATAAAACATCTTTGCCCACCTATATATTATTTCGTTTTTTTCGGCAATCTATAAACAACATTCATGCCGAATTTCTTTAGAAAATGTGAAATAACATTGCTAAAATTTTCTACATGGTATCAAAATATAAGGCGCTTTCACCTGTAATGTACCTGAATTTTCATCACTATTAGTAGAATTCTTGTTATATTAAAAAAAATTAATTTATTTATATATAAAGCGATTGATTATGTCAATGGGAAAACAGTTATTTCGTAAAATATTTTTAATTGTCAATATATTTTCTTCATGAAACCGTCTATCGGATAATAATATTGCATGGGCCACTAAATTATAAATCGTGTTGATTTTTATTTAAAAGGATGGCAAGAATGAAAATTGATATATTTGCCTGACCACGTAGGCTTCCTAAACTAATTCATTATTAACTTTTTATTATTAACATCTCGACAAACAGTAACATTTAAGAAATTAAGTAACGAATTACATTCTATCTCACAAATGAATTTCAAACGCTCATGGTAATTATTAAATGCAGATAAAACCGCATCTGTTTTTTCGATAGGTATTATGGCAAAGATGTCATCAACATATCTATAGTACACGGGAACTGAAAAATCTAATGAATTCAAACAATATGACTCCAGATCGTCCATTATTATATCCGCTAAAATTGGGGACAACGGTGAGCCCATTGGACTACTATAAATTTGTTCATAACATTGTTTCTCAAACCGAAAACTAGTCGAATCAAGAATAGTTTTAATGACATGTAAGAATTGCGCTAGATTTAATTTGGTATTTTCCGATATATCATCCCATCGTTTTTCAATGCCCTTTATAACCAATTCCTTCGGGATGTTAGTAAAGAGCGAAGTGACATCAAAAGAAATCATTATTTCTGAATCCTTAATCAATTTGTCTTGAATGTTTATGGAGAAAGACCAACCATCCTTGATATGTGAGTCTGGTTTCTTAATGGAGCATTGTATGTTATAGATGTAATTTGCTAAATTATAAAAAGGGCTATCAAGTGAGGAAACAATAATACGCAATGGAAAACCGCTCTTATAAATTTTAGGGAGTCCATAACAACGTGGTAAATTGCCGTTTGTATAATTTAAATGCTTATAAGTCATCTCATCAATGAGATCATTAGAACGCCATGATTTTAACAATAAATTCAATTTATTAGTTAGAAGTTTAATAGGATCCTTCTTAAATTTCTCATAAATGTGAGGATCATTAAATAAAACATGCATTTTTTGTAAATTCGTTCTATCCATAATCACAGTTATTTGTCCCTTATCTGCTCGAGTGATTAAAATATCATTATGTGTTTTAAAGTACTACATAACACAAGTGCACGCTTCGCGCGCGCCAAACAAATTTTTAAATTATTACGCATAATAGAAATTCAAGAATACTTATGTACTGTACATAGTAAAAATTCGGCAAATAACAATTTAAAACACAATGAAAATTTAAGAATAAAATTATATACATATAGAAATTCAGCGAATTAAAATTATTTACATAAATGAAATACGACAAATTAAATTATATACATAATAAAAATTGGGAAAATTAAAATTATTTAGATAAAAGAAATACGGTGAATTAAAATTATGTATAAATTTAACGTATAAGACAGGCAATAAGAGCCAAATCGCGGATGACAGTGCGTTATCCTAACGAAACTAAATTTTTTCGTTAGAATTAGATACCTGTGCACAAGGCACCAAATTTTACTTGGACACGGCCAAGATTTAAAATTGGAATAATCTCTACAAGAGATTTAATTCCATACATCCCCTCTTCCCCCTCTTCCCGGCAAGCGAAAGGTCTCGGGTTCGATTCCCCATTCAGCGACTTTCGGATCTATATTTTTCTCTTACATTTATTTCCTTAGGGGGGAAGAGGGGATGTATGGAATTAAATCTCTTGTAGAGATTATTCTAATTTTAAATCTTGGCCGTGTCCAAGTAAAATTTGGTGTCTTGTGCACAGGTATCTAATTCTAACGAAAAAATTTAGTTTCGTTAGGATAACGCACTGTCATCCACAATTTGGCTTTTATTGCCTGTCTTATACGTTAAATTTATATTTATATTACAGAGCCTTGTTAAACTCTTAATTTAAAATTATGTACTTAATAGAAATTAGAAATTCAATGAATTAAAATTATGTACATAATAGAAATTTGGAAATTAAAATTATGTACGTAATAAAAATCCAGAAATAAAAATTATGTACACAATAAAAATTTGACAAATTAAAATTATGAACAAAATAGAAATTCACGAATAAAAATTGCGTACATAATAGAAATAAGATAATTAAAATTTTGTACATAATAAAAATTCGGTGAATTAAAATTATGTACATTACGGAAATTCGGCAAATTAAAATTATGTACATAATAAAATTTCGGCGAATTAAAATAAAAATAACGCTTCTCTGTCGCAATAGCCCACAACGGTGCAAAAAGTAAGTACTAAATGTATATATTATTATAATATATATTATTTATTGCCTATATAAGCAATAAATAATATATTATTAATAATATATATATGTGGGATTTGAAAAGGAAACAATTGTATCTATGCGAATTCGGGCATTGAACCCCACTTGTTACGGGTGTGAATTTAGGTATGTAAGGCGCGATCATAACAGCGCATGCAGCGAGCACTAAACAAAAATAAATAGAGTATAGACCCGCGAACAAGGTGACGAGTGAGCAAGCATGTAATCTCCGAAACTTTGTAAATGAGATCCGAAATACATTCAGATTGAAATCATAAAGAGTGTCTCTGTTAGAATCCTATAAATTATTGGGGGCTCGTCCGTGCCAAAACGAGTCGAAGAGAAAGTGTTAATGAGTGCCCGAAAGGAAGAGCGGAAAGCCGAAAGACTGTGTGAAATGAAGTACGAGAAATGAGGAAATTCAAAGAATAGGAAACGAAGTAAAGGCGAAAGACGAGAAGAAGACGAGGGACGAAGGAAAGACGAAAGACAAGGATAAGACAAGGGACGAAGGAAAAACGAGGAACAAAGATAAGACGAAAGACGAAGAAGACGAAAAACGAGGAAAAGACGAAAGACGAAGGACGAGAGGCGGAAGACGAGAAGAAGATGTAGGACAAGGATCGAGAGCGCTCGAGAATCCAAAAAGAACGAAGATAGACGATAGTCAGCGAGTAAGCAGGGATCGAGAGCGTTCGAGAATCCTAAGGAGGAACGAAGATAGATGAACAACGTATGTATGACTGAGAATATTCCAGAGCTTAACGCAAAATCTCCAATCGCCGTTTGCAAAAGCAAAATCGATAGACAAAGTTATGGAGGAGTTAGGGCAAATATCTGCAATTAAACAAAAAATTGCCGCAGCATCGCGAGCGGTGATAGTGGTCATGCATAAATTTATTTTTGAGGAAGATGGAGATAGGAATAATCGACGGCGACTGCGAGAATTCCGCGGGTTCGAATTCAACGACGACTCAGCCGAATTTAGAGCTAAGCTCCAATATGCTGTGAGATTTTCAATAGGAGATTTGATATCAATTTGCAATGTTCTTGGCATTGCATACACCGGAAATGCCGAGCAGCTGAGAGAGCGGATAGTGAGGGCTCTGATGGACGTCGGGTCTTTGCGATCAGTTCGCAGCGAGGACGACGACGACGAGATGGATGATAGAAATGACGACGAGAATGATGTCGACGAGATCAACGACGAGAATGCCGATGCCGATAAGGAAAGAGGAAGCATAGTCAGCATAGAACGAGGAAACAACCGTCAACCTTAAAGAGGTAGGAGGCAAAGAAATGCGAATAGCGACGCTAAACAATTTATCTTAATTATAGAGATGTGAAGGATTCGGTTCGTGCATTTAGTGGAACCGATTCGTATCCAGTTGAATACTGGATTAACGATTTTGAGGAAGCCGCTGCCATGTTCGATTGGGATGATCTACATAAGGTAGTCTTCGCAAAAAGATCAGATTTCTGTAGTTCATGATGTTATAGTATGTAATATGCTGTGAAACAATTGATGTGTCAGCCCGAATATTAAATATTAGATTTTAAAAAAATAGTGATTACTTACGTCTGTGTCGAGACGATAAAATATTTCTTTTTAAATAACATTGTCACAATGTGTACTTTTTGCGAAGCTAATCAATATCTGTAAATCGCAATGTCAGAGCGCTGTATATATACCTCTATGCTATGATGACATAGACAATTTTTCTAAATATCAAAATAAGAACCGTCAAGACATATTAACATAGCGATAATGATATTGAAAAAGACTGTCGTACAGCCGAAACGTTTATCATTTGTAATTTATTTTATGACATATAATAAAAAAAATTTAATTAACATCTTATTAGCTCGTTAAGTTAAATATTCCATATATTTTTCAAATATTATTATGAATTTATTTTACATATCTAATTAATAATGAATTTCTAATTATATTAAACATATCAAAATAAAGACAACATGTATTTATCAAATGAATAAAATTATTGAATATAGACTTAAAAAATTTATTAAACATAGACTTAAAAAATTAATTAATTAAACATATTCCAAATTTAGAAAAAATAAACTTTATTTATTATGCAACAGCTTTTAAAACTAATTTTTAAAATTCTATTTTATATTAGACAATTATCTCAATCAACATCTACGTCCACATTAGCTGCACTGGACTACCTCTACAGCCACATTATCTGCTCCGCGGATATAGCGTTATGCCAATACGATACATTACATGTACTTACTTACTTGCCTTTACTGTACCACTCTTGTTCTTTCCACGTAATCATGTTTTTACAGTTATCGTTTGCTGTATATCTTCCAGCAACTTTATTTCGTGTGAAGTGTATTTAATTAATTAAATCTCTGCGAAAGATTGAGAAGATGAAGGGATAATTCAAACTATGAAGACATGGTTACATGGAAAGACAAGAGTTGATACAATAATAAAGACATACATGTATTTGTATCCTGCTGGCATAAGGTTATAGAAGTTGATTGAGATTGAAAAATAATAATGAAAATAATAAAAAAATAAAGACACATGTATTTGTATCGTGCTGGCATAAAGTTATAAAAGTTGATTGAGATTGAAAATAATAATAAAAATAATTAAAAAAAGGAAATATTCAATTATCATTTAAAAGCATAATTGAAATCTGTAGAATAAACGTTTTTGCAAAAATGTGGAGCATTAGAGCTCTAGTAAGTCTAAAATAAATGTAAACATCAATTAATAATAACTGATGTTATATATATATTATATATATAAACCAATTTGTTGCAATATTCACTATAAAAGGTTGTAAGGGTAAGATGGCTAAAAGTGAATAATTTAAAAGATAGTTAACATAATTTACATAAACTGAAATATTTCATAGAATAAAATATTTGTAATATTTCGAAGTTTATGTAAGATTATGTAAAATTATACCTTTACAACTTTTTTAGTAAATATTGCGAGGAATCGATTTATATGAGAAAAATTAAGGTAATTTATTTTGAAAATATAAGTGACCTTTAAATAACCTTGAAAATCGCCGTTTAGGAAAAAGTCTGTGTCAACTTTTTCTTTTTCGAATCCTGCAACTTTTATCTAAATTTAATAGAAAATGTATAAAATGCTCGACATTAGTAAACACACACACCACACACATTGTTAAATTTATATAATAGGGTGCTTTAGGAGGAATGATCAGGATTCTAGGATATGATTGTACACATCATTTAAGCAGAAGTTTTAGATAAACATGTTTAATAATTGTTCTATTCCGGTCATAAAAATATACAAAAAATGATGATATTCTCTAAACTCACTTTAAAAAAGGTAAAAAAGGCGACCAGTTAAGGGCACGCCATAACAAAAATTATCCATTGCAAACCCATGTAGAATTCTATCTTATTGCAAACCCATGCCAGATAGCACTGGATGTATTATGGACGTACATTTTAAAATCCAATTTATGTCCATATGTCCATGGACATAAATAGGGCATAAATTGGATGTCTTTTTTGGATATGAATCAAATGTCCTAAACAGTACATCCTATGGACATTCAATATATGTTCAAATTTAAATACTGATTTTTTTTTTATATTAACGTTTAAAAATATTTGCCTTTCGTTCCTATAAAATGTTTTAAAATATTTTTCAAAATTCCTTTAATTTTTATTGAATATATGTCATTATATATTAAAAATATGTTATTAATAAATAATCACAACAAATATTTTTTAACATTTACTTATATATAAAAAAATGTTTGAAAATGTTTTTATAGTATCATTTATGTTATAACTAACTTATATATTTGAGAAATAATTTTTAATATTACAAATCTGTTCTTTTAATGCCACGATCAAAATATTATATTATTATAATATTATTAAATAATTTTGTATTTTATATTATTAAATATTTATTTAGTATCGCAAATTTTTTTTCTATAATTATTTTACACTAATGTTAGTTTAATTATTTTTATATTAAAATTATTATTTTTTTATATACCAATTAAATATAATTTATTAATAATACTTATTTTATTTAAATCTATAAATTTACTTTATTTATTATCGGGGCACAGTCCCCGTCAGAATTAACGGTACTGCGTCTCGTCCTTGACGTCGCGGTACTCGCACGCGGTGATGTGCAAGACCAAAACAACCGCGAATCCTTATTATAGATAGTGTAATGTTTGGTCAGTGAACCTTTCCTTATTCGGTCGACGATTGTAAGCACGTATACTACACGTAGTGTAGTGCTGTGAGGTTGCGACCATTGCACAATCTATTGACATTTGCTAGAAATTTATCAAGGTAAGACGTTTTACTATAATTATATAATAATAATTTTGTCAATTCACGCACCCATCCATACGCACGCACACACGCACGCATATTTCCTTCATTCATTATATATTGTTGAACGTTTCGTTTTCAATTCGTTTTCTATGTCTTATCTTTAATGATAATAATCTATACACAAAATGTGTTTTAGAAATACAGGGTTTGTCCGGAAAGTAATGCGTCGCATTTTTGTTAAAAAAGAATTTATTGATCGCATAGGTAAAACACTTAAAATTGTTCAAGTATGACCCTTCTGCGTCATACATTTTTGCCAACGCGATTTCCATGCGTCAATAAGATTTCTGAACTCCTGACTGGGATGCTGTTCAGGAGGCCGTCGAAGTGCTGTACGTGTCAACCGACTCGAGCTGTTGTCCTTTGAGCTCCCTTTTCAGCCGAGGAAATAAAAAAAAGTCCGCCGAACGTTTTTCAGAATTGGGATTTATCTGCACAGTATGCTTGAGTTCTTCACAAACTTCCATGGTGTTTGCTTTGCGCATCGTCAACACTCTAGGCACAAGTTTGCGCACTTCCGCTGGCCAAGTCTTCCGATACAATCTCGTGAACAATCGTTTTCGGCAATTCAATAATTCCGACATTAAGCGAACATTCATTCGACGGTCTGAATTCAATAATTGGCGCCACGATTCACATTGTCGTCCGTTCGCGATGTTGACGGGCGTCCTGCGCGGGCCTCGTCGGCCGACCTCCTTCGCCTTCTCTAACATCTTGTCCATCTGTTTGACTGCGATTTGGAAAGGCAATCGTCCCGAAAACTTTCTTGAGCATTTAAAAGTTTCCAGCGGCGTCTTGTCCAGCTTCACGCAAAACGTTATCGCATAGCGTTGCTCTATCGTTCTCTCCATCACAAGTTCGACGCGACACTTGCAGAGGTTCACAGAAAAGCCGTCTTAACCCTCCAAGCGCATGGAAACAATTGAGCGACCTCCGTTGGAAAGCTAGGGTACCCCCTTCCTCCCCAACCGGTCCCATCGCTTGCGATGTATAGTCGCGTCACAAAAAAATGCGACGCAATTACTTCCGGACTATCCCTGTAGATCGCTAAACTTTAAGAGCATATTCTACTCACTATAATGATAAGTATATAAACATTCGGAACAGCTTTCTTTTCAAGTTATAAACATTTTTTATTTACATCGGGCAACATATATCTCGCTTCGTTTCATGAATTGTCCTATTCACTTTTTATTAGAAATAAACAAAAAGTTATTAGATGGATCTGTAATAATATTATAGAATCATTTATGATATTTGTATTATTACTGTGAAAGTACTCCGAAATCGTATTATCATTTCGTGTGACAAAATAAATATTTCGAGAATTTTTGGACGTCTTCGATAATATCTATGCGATGTCGATGCGACACGTGCATTAATGTGGAAGAAAATTATTTTCAACAATTTCTGTAATGAAATGTTACAGTTTCAAATGTTCTTAAAATCTGTTATAAAAGATTTATTAAAATCTGTTATTGTTTTCATCCTTACAGTAAATAAAATATGCTTTTTAAGTTTGGCGATTTATTTCTGAAACACCCTGTATACATGGGACATTCGTTACTAAATCAACGCTTTTTTCCGATTATTGTTTATTTGTTTATTTTTTTAAATGTTTTTGTACTGATTGCTAATAGCGTTATTTATAAATTTTTTAGATTATTATTTCTATCGATTCTCGAATTTTCAACGGATTTTCATCAATTAATTAAAGGTAGAAAAATATTAATAAATTTTAAATTTTAATATTAATTTTAAAAATGCCAAAATAAGAAGAAAATATTATCGAAGAGCACAAGAGATAACTAATTTAGTAATTAATAATGTTCAAAATAAGAATTTAATGCCATTATTAGAAAGTACACCTTCAGTTTCAAATAATAATTTAGAGGATTGCAATAATTTTTATATCAATAATGATTTAGAAACCGTGAATAATTATAATTCGGACCGTGATCCCGATGATACAGAACATAATTTTGATAACTTTGAATCTACAAATTTTGTGAATAACTTTAAATCTATAAATTCCACTACTGATTTTCCAAATTCTATATCTTGGTTGCAAGAATGGGCAATTAAAAAATAATAACTCATACTGCGTTAAATGAATTAATATCTAATATGAAACTTAAATATCCGGAATTGCCTAAAAATGCTCGCAGTTTATTAGGAACTCCCAGAAAAATCAATGTAGACGTCGTTGCACCAGGACATTACTATCATTTCGGTTTAAGTAATTGCATCGAAAGACTTTTATCGCGATGTTCTTTTCAAAATTTACACTGTATTGAAGTTAACATTAACATCGATGGCCTGCCATTATTCAAAAGTTCAAGTAGTCAAGTTTATCCCATTTTATGTAATTTAGTTGAAAATTACAATGAAGTTGATGTCATTGGAATTTATCATGGACATGAAAAACCCACAGATGCCAATGTATTTTTACAATCTTTCACAGAAGAAGCAAAAAATTTAACTATTCATGGTATAAAAATTAAAGATCACACTTATTCTTTTAAAATTAAATCTTTTATATGCGATGTTCCTGCTAGATGTTTTATTACTTATACAAAGGGTCATTCGGGTTATTACGCATGTTTTAAATGTACAGCTAAGGGCAAATATTATCTCAATAGAATGACTTATCCATATTTAAATAGTTGTCAATTAAGAACAGATAACGATTTCCGATTAAAATTACAAGAAAACCATCATATAGGTACATCAATACTTGAATCGATTCCTAATATAAATATGGTGAATGATTTTCCATCTGATCCGATGCATTTAATATTCTTGGGAGTTGTTAAAAAACTGATTTCTTTATGGTGTTACGGAAAACCTAAAACAAAGTTATCTTTTTGTCAAATATCTGAAATATCAAAGTTATTAGAACATCAAAAAAAATATATACCTTCCGAATTTAATAGAAAATCAAGATCTTTGTTTGAAAGTAAAAGATGGAAGGCAACCGAATTTAGAACTTTTTTATTATATACGGGATCTGTTGTTTTAAAATCTATTCTAAATCATGATCAATATTTAAATTTTTTAACTTTACATGTAGCTATCACTATTTTGTCTAATTCAAAACATATGGAACAATATTTAGATTATTCCAACTCCTTATTGCAATATTTTGTAGAAACATTTATTAATTTATATGGTAAAGAAAATGCATCGCACAACCTGCATCATTTATTACATATTTGTGATGACGCGAAAAAAATTTGGAATTCTTCAAGAATTCAGTGCTTTTCCGTTTGAAAATTACTTACAATCTATATTAAAAATGATTCGTAAAAATAATAAAGAATTAGAGCAAATTGTTTGTCGTATAACTGAAAAAAACTATTGTATAAATTCTAATGTCAGAGTGAAATGTAACGAGCCTCAATTTTTAAAACCACATTTTAATGGTCCACTTATTATTAATTTTCATAATTGTAATCAATTTGGCAAAGCGGTGTTTAAACAATTTATTTTAAAAATAAATGAACCCGATAATTGCTGTAGCTTAAAAGACGAAAACATTATTGTTATTAGAAATTTTGTTGTAAATAATGAGGGCTTTTTCGTAATCGGAAATAAATATAAAACGCTTACAGATTTTTACACCGTACCATGTAAGTCGTCAAAATTAGGGATATATGTAATCAATGATATTGGAAATTTAGAATCCTGGGATTTAGGGCAAATTGCAAATAAATGTATGAAATTAAAATATAAAAATAAGTATGTAGTTTTTCCCTTATTACATTCAGAATATTTTTAAAAATTTTTCTTTTCTTGTGCTCTTCGCTAAAAAAATGTTAATTTTTATATAATTTATAATAATATATAGATAAATATAATATATATATAATATACAATATAATATATAGAGGAAATAGGTTTGCAATTTTTGTGATAAGTTATTGAGTGTTTGCGCCTTTTCATATATAAATTGTAAATAGAATTTTTTGTTGGAATAAAATGCTCCTTAAATTTTTTGTTGAAATGTTTGAAGAAATGGAGAGATCATGGACTATAGTAAGGTTTATAGATGAAGATACAGTTGAAGCTGTCCCATCTACCTGGATTATCAATAAAAAATGTTATTGGCCACCGTTTCACATGGAAAAAATTGTAGCGGCTATCAAAAAACATGCCGAACCAAATACATGTTGGCCTTCATATAATGTTATGACTTTCAGAAACAGCAGTTATGGTTAATATAAAATATTTAAATATTATACATTCCACATATACTTTTGTGATCAATAATATATGTACATAATCGTTATTTTTGTTATAATAATATAAATATATTTACTTGTATTTTCAGATAACTATAAAACAGCCAGGGAAAAAGCCAAAAAGGCTGAATTAACATCTGAATTAAACTCCGAGACTGATAATGATAACATTTCGAAAAGAAAAATTATCCCAAAGAAATTCTTTTCGTCATCAGATGAATCTACCGAAGAGTGCACTAAATTACGGACGCCTCCAATTATGAACACACAAAGTTCGTTTTAATATTAAATATTAATATATAATATACATAATATATATAATATAATATAAAAAATATATAATATATTATTATATTATATTTTAATGTATTATAAATATATTTATGATATATTATTTATTTAAAACTTACTTCCTCCGATTTTACGAAATTGTTTTACATAATTTAGTATGTTGTGTGCCTCGGAAGAGACACTTAAGGGTCGCGCCAAATTGGGATGGGAATCCGGGGCGTCAGGACTTGTCGGGTGTTTGTAGAGAAATGCACTACACTTTTTGTATTAAAATTCTTTATTCAATTTCAACCACTTGGTCTTTATTTTATTTCACTATCAATACACTGTAGCTTTACGAGTGTGCGGCACTGACTTTATATTACTCCGCGTATCGCGCACAACTGCGAGTCGATGCTAAGTGCGCGCGCGGTTAGCGAGATCGTGGTTAGAGCGATTATTTGTGTCTGCGACTGAGCGAGTTGTCGCGTCTCTACTCTCTTTTTATATCGTTGTTTTTGGAGTTTTCCCGATCGGAAGGGGTGCCTGGCAACAGGTTTCCCCGGTCGAGAATCTAGGTGCAAGCGAAGCAGATTCAAAGTCCTTCTGCTTTGCTTGCACGTTGACCAATTTCTGTTCCGCGTATATCTCGCATTGTATGCGTTTTTAACGCGGTCATTATCTGTCGTAATTCTGATTTCGCGTATACCTCGCATCGTATGCGTTTTTTAACGCGGTCATTAGCTGTCGTAATTCCGATTCCGCGTATACCTCGCATCGTATGCGTTTTTTAACGCGGTCAGTGTCTGTCGTAATTGCAGATGCAATACGAGTACCCATTTCTTAATATTAGTTACTCTTCTAACAGTTATATCTATTGTATATCTTTGGGGGATATAACATCCCTCCCCCGTTAAAGAAGAAAAACGAAGGCATGAAGTTTTTCGCTTACAACTAAAGCTTACAAATGTTTATCCCGTTCACAATATAATTATAATCGTTTCCTATTTCCTAAAAACGCGTACTATTACTCCTTTTTAATATAGATCTAGGTACATCCCAGTCATCGTCGAGTATCGTCACTCTTGGTCTTCTTTTAATGTCTTTTCTATTTTTTACTTTCCAAATTATAATGACAATGATAAATATTATAATTATGATTATTACTAACCCGCTCGAGGTCATGGGATAAATAAATTGTTTTCTTGTATAAAACTTTTGTTCATTATCCTGTAAATCATTGTCTATATTGTTTATTTTCGTTCGTAATTCTATTAGTTCTGCGTTGTTTTGTGTTAGATTATTTAATGTGTCGAGTATTCTCATGTCCTCGTCTTGTGACGGTGCAATATTAAAATTCGGTAAATATGTATCTATGTTCGTTACGTAAGTCGTCCCTTTTGTCTCCAATGTCATATCCTCCGTTTTAATTTGACAGTTTCCTCGTGAGGTTAGTCGGCCGGTATTTTTTATTACTAAATTTTTTTCTGTGTATCCGTCACATTTTATATTTATTTTTTCTTCCTTAGCTGTTGAGTACAACCATGTGTGTGTTTGATGTAACGGGATCCATACTGTCGTTTTCGTTACCCGATAGCGTACCTTACATTCATGCTTATCTTGCATTCGTTGCGTATACATTTGTAATTCGCACGGTATATTCGTGTTTACGCGATAAGTCGGCATGCTATGTTCGCATATATAATTAGAGTTTATTTTACTACATTTTTGTAAATCCTCATTTGTTATAATTAAATATGTTAATCTAAGGTTATCTATGGCAAACATATTGTTTTTCTACTTGTATACCTTTAAATGTTTTATTGTATGCTGCCACGGGGAATTCAATTGCCTTTATTATGTTATATTTAGGCTGTGATATTATCGGGAACCGCAGTATTGTATATAAATTATATTCTTTGCTTACGTATGCACTTACGCTTGCATGTTTCTTTATTTCATGCCAGTTTACTGCGTGTGTTCTAAACGGAAAATAATATCCCTGTTCTAACTGTGTTGCGGCTTCCTTTAAGTGTGCGACAATGTTATCAAATGGTACTAATTTCGGATGTATATTTCCTTCCTCGATTTGCGCTAAGTATTCTATAATATTTTCCGCGTCCCTAATGGCGTCTGTTAATGCTGCCATAATTATTTCATATTGTCCCTGTATCTTTTCTAACGTAATATATTGCGCTACATTTTCCTGTAAGAGTTTTTCACTCTGTTTTATTGTATTCTCTAACTTACTTATATGTGTTACCGTATCGTTGATTATTGTTAGTTGATGCCTAACTGTGTGTTGTAACGTGCTCTGTCGGTTATTCATTAATTCTAGTTGTTCATTTATGCGTTTTTCGTCATCGGCGTCCATGGTACCGAACAATGTCTTTGCCACTGTTCCTATCCCGTCAATTATTCCCCTACGTTTGTCTGTATGTCTGTCGTAGAGTGTATTTATTTGTATTATCGTTTTTTCCAAATAGTTTAGTGTTTGTTTTGTAATACTAACTAAATTAAGGCATGTGTCTTGTTGCGTTAACACATTGCACGCTTTTTCCGTACGCTCTATATAATTTCGTATGTAACCTTGTTTCGCAGTTAATGTTGCTAGGTCCAGTTTTATTACTAGTTTCCACGTGCTTTTGGAACAATGTAGATGGCCTATTTTTTCAAAATGTATCCCTGGTTCGTTGGTGAATTCCTCGAGTTCGTATGGCTCTTGGCTTGACCGTCTTAATGTCGCTGCGTTGGCATTGAATATGATCATCCTGTAATATATATATATAATTCCCCTTACTATTTTATACTTTTGTATGCAATTTTTTATCAAGAAAGCGGAGCATTCGTTTTTTATATCTTCTGTCGTTTCTTCAGTCTTAGGACAACTTTTGTTACGTGCGGCACGACATATTAACATGTATTTTCGTTTTAATTGTATTAGATGCAATGCTTATTCGCATTTGGACGATTTGTTGTGTCTTTACTGTCGCGCCCGCGCCCCTGTTGTGGGGCCCGAAATAACGGGGGACGAGTATTCCCGGGCGTACGATGTGGTGCTCCGGTGGGCGAATGTGTCCCGGAGGGCGGGTGAGCCGCATTCTTTGCACGTCACCCTTGATACGCGCACCGATACGCGAGTAGTGCGTGAAGTGGTGGTTTTGGTGGGGACGACCAGCCTTGACCGATTCGCGATACCGGAATAGGTAAGTCTCAATTTTCGATAAATAATTTTAGTCTGTTTGTGTGTATGCGTATTGTTCTTCTTCCTTTCTTTATTGTGTAGTTGACGTCGGAGTTCTTTTCGATTATTGTATACGGTCCTGCCCATAAGGCGTCAAGTTTCTTTGATCGTCCGCGTCGTAGCGTATCGTCATATATAAGTACTTTATCACCGACTTTAAATTTTATTTCTTTCGCGTCTTTATCATAATATTTTTTTGATTTGATTTTCTCTTCGTTTACGCGATCCTTCGCAATTTGTTGTGTGGCCCTTAATCTTTCCCTAAGCTCTTGAGCGTAATCGTCGTAGCTGTATGTGGCCCTCGGTGGTTTTGTTAATGCCGTCGGTAGGTTGGCCTGATGTCCGTAAATTAATTCAAACGGCGTGTACCCCGTTGCACTGTGCGGGGTCGTATTATAAGTAAACATTGCATAAGGTGTCCATTCGTCCCAGTCTGTTTGATCAGCGTCAACATAATGGCGAAGATACTCTGCTAATGTCCTATGTGATCGTTCGAGTGCCCCATTTGTTTCGGGTGATACGCGGTTGTTTGTAATTTTTTGATTTTTAACAGTTTACATGTGTCCTTAAATATTTCACTTAAAAAGTTTGTCCCTGATCTGTCAAAATTTTCTCCGGTATCCCGTGTTCTAGGATTATTTTTGTTACGAACTCCTTTGCGATTGTGCCAGCTTCCTGGTTCGGTATTGGAATCGCCTTACTAAATTTTGTTAGGGTGTCTTGGAATGTTAATAAATATTTACTCCCATTCGTAGTTATTGTTAGCGGCCCTACAATGTCCAACGCACATTTTTCAAATGGCTTATCAGGCGTATCTGTAATTATTAATGGTGCTTTATTTTTCCGCGACAATTTATTTTTTTGACATGACTCGCATTTGGCGATGTATTTCTCGACGTCTTTTGTTAAACCCGGCCAATCATGATCTAAACGAATTCTCTTAATTGTTCTTTCTATTCCCTGATGTCCTCCAATGGGCGCATCGTGATATTCATATAGTATCTGTTGTTTTTCCTCTTCGGTGTACGTCCTTTCATTCTTAGCATCGTTTACCTCTTCTTTTTCTATCTTGCATATACCTTCCGTCCTTTCGCTTGAGTCAGCGTTTCGGATTACGTTCCGACTTAATGCATCAGCGTTTGCGTTCGCTCGTCCGGCCTTATGTATGATTTCGTAATCGTATTCTTCTAATTTTAATCTCCAGCGAATCAACCTTGAGCCGGGGTCATTCACGTTAAATAGCCATACCAATGGTTTATGATCCGTAATGATTTTGAATTTGGTCCCGTACACGTATGGTCTAAAATGTTTTACGGCCCATACAATTGCTAATAATTCTTTTTCCGTTGTGCTGTAATTCTGCTCCGCGCGAGATAGCACTCTGCTTGCGTAAGCAACAGGGCGGTCATTGCCTATGGGCCCCTGTGAGAGCACGGCTCCGATTGCATAATCGGACGCGTCTGTAGTTACATTAAATTCCTTATTAAAATCTGGATATTGTAATATCGGTGCCGTTATTAACTTATCTTTTAAAATATCGAACGCAATTTGTTGCTCGCTGTTCCATCCGAAGGTTTCGCCCTTTTTTGTCAATCTAGTCAGGGGTTTTGCGATCTTTGAGAAATCCTGAATGAACTTCCTATAATAACCGGCGAGTCCTATAAATGCCTGTACATCTTTAACTTTTTTCGGCGTCGGAAAATTTTTTACCGCCTCTAATTTTGATGGGTCCGGTAATATACCGTTTTCCGA